CTTTCACTGGTATATTTGTAAATAAACTCTCAATATCAAAACTAATCATTTTAAATTTTGCTAACTGTGGATTCGATTTTAAGAATGTTAGAAATTCATCAGTATTTTTCAATGAATATTTACTATTCCGTAATGGAGTAATGATGTTCGCTAGGAATTTAGCTAATCCATAGTTATATGATTGTAAACAAGAAATAATAGGACGTATAGGAACACCTATTTTATGAGTTTTTGGAAGACCATATAATCTGGCTGGTATAGAACCGACTGGTCTGATCCTTTGATATTCTTGTTCTGTAATATAACCCTCGTTTTTTATTTCTCTTAGTAGTGTTGTTAATGAATTTTCCCGTGTAATTGTCGGATCTTTATCTAATCGTGTGAGTTTTGTATTATCATTTAGAATGGTTTCAACTTTATTTATATATTGCATTTTATCAAGAATAACAGCTCCTCGACCTTTATCGGGACGAGTAATATAAATAGATTTATCATTCGCTAGATTTCTCAATATTTCATCATCTTCATAAGACTCGAATTTACTAGACGTTATCGTACGATAAAAGAATTTCTCTGTTACGCTTTTCAAATCAGAAGCCGATATGAAATTTCAGAAGAAGATATGAAAAGCACACTATTGTTCGAGACCTGGGAGAGGAGGAAGAGAATTGCAATGTGGACCCTCTTTCTTTCATCTAAAATTTCCCTCTCCTTTGACAAGCATTTCATCTGGATTTGTATTTACCCTTTAAAGACAAGGAGATCTTGAATCTATTTTATTTATTCAAGAAGCATCTTATATGTAATACTTGACATTGAAACTTGTCCTCTGAACTACAGCTGGAACAAGAGAAGAGAGTCGACAACAGAACGATCGGTAAGGTGATGTGCACATAATGAGTGTCACAGAAGAGAACAGTCACTTGGTGTTTTGCCTGTATGTCCATCCCGGATTCGAACCGAGCGCTAAATTGCTTCCAAAGAACCCGCCTGAATTTGTCTACAAAACCCCTGCTGATTATTTCACTCAAAAATTAATGTATATAACTTTTAGATGGTATGAATTTGGAACAACGTTCTTTTCTATAACATTAACTGACTTCAGTAACGTTGCGATAGTCCTGCCCTATCGAACAGAGCCAATTGATGAAAATCAAATGTATATTTTCCTTTTTTAGTATGCTTAGCTACATTCGAGGACTCGATTTGTTTTTTGATGTCCGATTGATGTTCCCTCATTCTAGTTTCCTTTTCTCTACCGGTTTCTCCAATGTAACATTTTTCACAATTCTAGCATGATATCTCATATACCAATTTCTTTTTCTTTTTTGATTCATCTAGTCCTTTTTGGATGGGAAGAAATACACTTTTGATTGTAAAAGTTTTTCTGAAGCATACATTACGTTCTATAACGGGTAGAAGTTTTTCACATATTCGTTTAATTCTATGAGCTGATATGGTTGATTCTCTACCATAATAGGAGAGAAGAAAGTAGACTTTTTTCTTTTTTGACGATTGTTGGTTGTGTTTGCTGTTGTTTAGATTTACATATCTACATATCTAATCCATATTAATGGTTTATTTGTTGAGAATCTATTAATTTTATGCTGAGGATTTGACATGAATAAGTCAGCTAATATTGGACCTAAAGGTGACCCCATTGCTACTCCATCAGTTTGTATATATACTTTATCGAGAAATCTGAATAGAATGTTGCATACAGTGAATTCTAATAATTGTTTTAATTGTGATCGAGTAAAAGGTATAGAAGGTGGAGAAGGCCTTTTAAATAACATGTCTAGAGTAATTTCTATAGCTTCATGAACAGGAACATTTGTGTATAAATTATCG